CCCCCCCCCCCCCCCAATAATTCAAACGTTGGTCAAAGTTGGTCAAAATGGGACTGATATTTGCCCAAAGTTGGTCAAAATGGAACTGATATTTGCTTAAAATTAAAGGTAAAACTCGGAAAAACTTGGTAAAAGTTTGGGATATAAGATGGTCGAAGTTGTTAAAAGTTACGAAATGGTTGGCACTTTTCACAATTTTAAAGCTTCAGTTACGTTTGCGGTGAAAAAATCGGAAGCATTGCTGATATTGGCCGAAAAATTTTGAATATGCTTTTATTAGTCCGGAAAAATTTTTCTGACTATATTAGTCCGGAAAAATTTTTTGACCTTTGTTGCTACACAGTACACTGCACCAATCCTCAGATTGACTGTACAATGTACATTGTATCCTTATCTTTAAAATTAGAATTAGGGTTAGTATTATAGCGCATGGGTTAGGATTATTTTCTGAAATAAGTTTCTCTAATAAATTAATTTGTTTCTACGTAACTACGTTGGTATGTGCAGTCAACCTGAGCAAGAGACTGGGCTGTCTGTTCAGTGCTGTTAGAGAACGTTTATTGAAGTTTTATGTTTTCTTAGTGTAAATTTCTAGTTATAATTTATGTGCGGGTTCGTTCTCACATAGCATTGTAAATTTCCTAGTGAGTTTGATTAAAGCTTCTTCTTATGTAAAGAGAAATTCAAGGCGATTAGTTGAGTTAATTTTATATGGACGTTTATTACCGTGGAAATAAGATAACGACACTGTGCTGGTTTCAGCCAATTACAGTCAGCCATTTAACCGGAAGTGATGCTTGTCTTATAACAATAAGCACTTTTTAAATGAGCCAGGTATTCTGTATGAGTTTGGTTCTAATAATCATTTATTTGTTATATTTATAGAAAATCACGAAGAAGAGTAAGTGAATATTTAATTTATATTTAAATAATCTGTGAGGTTGCTAAAAGAAGAGAATTCTCCAAATAATCAGGTTCTAAAAGTTCATCATTGCTGTGTTTTTAGGGGAAATGCAGACGCACCATTGAAAAAACGTCGTGCCGACGCCAACGTTTACGATGCAGTGGCCACCGGCGGTGATGATGGTGAAGCAAGCACCAGTACAGCTCCTCATGAGTATGCTACTCTGGAGCAGGTGCGTTCACCACACTGCGCAGACACGCAGGATTTGTAGCTGAGTTGGTAACAAACAAAAAAAAACAACGGAGCATATCGTTATATACTGTATTGTGTAACACCACGACTGCTATTGGTTGGTTGGGCGAAACAATATACACATGACATGCGATGAACCGACCATTTTTTGCATAAACCAAGACAAAAACATTGATAATGTCGTCTATTATGTCTGCGTCGAGCTCCCTAAACTTATTCTATTGACTATGGGTTGCCAGCATATCACCACGTTTTTTGTCTTAAATTCCATGCTTAATTTATAATGTACCAACGTTTTCATGGTTATAGCTTTGTTGTAGCTTTATTTCATAGTTATTCGGCTATATTGACTTTCTCATTCATTGGTGAGCGGATTTCACAACCAGGGGCGTAACTACAGGGGGGGCGTAACTTCAGGGGGGCGGGATGAGACCCCCTCCTTAATCTTTCGAAACGGTACTCTCGTCGGGCAAAAACTAAGAAAAGGTCGGGCAAAACTACTGAAAATCTAGTCGAAAATTTTAAGAAATTAAAAAGAATTGAAAAGACTCGAACAGGGACGAAACTTAAGGGAGGTGTGTGGGGTGTGACAGACTGACACAAAAATTTTTTTTGCTGCAGGGCATCATTGGTTTCGCAGGGCAATTCTAGCAGATACCCCCCAATCAAAAGGGGCTAGTTACGCCCCTGTTCACAACAGGCTATTGCTCAATTGATAGGGGATCCGATGTACCTATGATTTAACGTCCTTATCCGAGAAGAGGCGAAAGGGTAACCATTTATACTGAAGTCACTGTTTAGGTAGCTCTTTAAGACCTTGAGTAGAGGTCCAACCAAGGATTGAACCCGCGGGTCTCCCAACTTGAAAGACAAGCGTGGTGATCACGACACTGTCATTTAAAGGCTTTCAGAAATTGTTGGGGGGGGGGGCGGCGATTCCCCTTTACTGCCTGCCTCCCCCTAGTTTCCGCTACTGGATTAAAGGAATACCGAATGGTTTGCATGCACGAGGGATGACGCGAGACTTTCGGAAAGCGTAAAAATACTCGAGCCGCAGGCGAGTGTATTTTTACGCTTTCCGAAAGTCGAGCAACATCCCAAGTGCATGGATCACGCTATCCTGCTTGGAAAATCATTTGGTAATTGTTTTATAAAATAACTACTGTGAAACAATGACATTTTGTGAATCCCGCGAAAATCCCGCGAAGGCGTTTTAATTCCTCATGCAGGATAGCCTGATCCTGCACGGCTATTAACCAATCAAATTGCGTGTTTCACTGTAGTTATTATATAAATTCTATTTACTGGCGTGTAAGCCAAATTTTGGATATTGAGTGTTTGAGATGCGGCGCTTATTCGAAGACAGTTCCTTTTCGTGGGCAGAGGCGGTAGTGCCGATCTTTTAAATTTGTATCTGCTTTCACAACGGATTTGCGCATTTGCAAAGTTTTTGAGAGAGTTCGAATTGAATGAGAGCGTTTGGAATTTACTAACTTTGAACTTAAAACACTGTAATACAGTAACTAGAATAAATTTCTGCGATCTCTGTCTGACGGCGCTTCGAATAAACGCCGTGTTGTTGTTAGGGCGGCGTGTCTTTGATATATTGGCTCTCATACTATATGCGCCGCTTAAAGAGTAAATACGGCAGTTGAAAGGTAGGTAGGTAGGTAAAACTTTATTTAACTACGCTAACCCCTACAGCGAAGGCTGATTTCCAAGGGGGGCGTAGATTTAAATGGTTAAAAATACAATTGATACAAATTATGGTCATACATTACATTACATTACATTACATTACATTACAGTTAACAACAATTACAATACATTTACAAATACAACTAGTATATAATTATTTACAAATTAAATTAATGTTAGTACTGTTCAATATTTTTAATTAACGTAATTATTTTATTAATTAATTAATTAATTGGCCAGGTGTCGTATACATGAATTAAACGAAGCAAGAGTGTGTTTGTTTCTTGCTTCATCAGAAAGGCTGTTCCACAATTTCGCTCCTCTATAACTAAGACTTTTTTTAAGGGGTCGGTTGTTCAAAGCTGGGTTACCTTGACCCTAAAATTCAAAGCCAACTTCCTGACAGCTTGTCTGTAAATTTGGAAATTGTTCTTCAGAGATCTTGTCTGGATCGATAGGAGTTTACTTCTCTGAAGTTTTGAAATAAACAGCGTTGAGTTAGGCTACTAACTTCTTTAATTAGACTACTAACTTTCCGACGAAGTGACTTCGCTCGAAACGTCGAAGTTCTCCTTGTATTTTTCAAGTAGTTGTACCCCTATCCATCCGAAGTTTTCTTAAACCTGGCTTCCACATTGTCGTAACTGTCGCGAACATGTTGTAAGTGTCGTCAGAGTAGTGTTCGCGAGCAAATGGAAATATGAAGAAACGTCTTGTCGCGACACGCTTGCAACAGTTCACGACAGTTACAGCAGTGTCGTCGAGATAGACTCGAGTTCTACCTCGACGACAGTTGCGACAGGCTAAAAATGTGTCGTTACGGGTATGTTTTAATGGGAACAGAAAAAACAACAGCGTGGCAACAGTTTGTCTTTTCAAAACTGCCGCTAACTGCTTGTACGATTCCTGGGTACGAAATTAACTTACGACAGTGTGGCGACAGTTAAAACCATAATGGAAACTAGGCTTTAATGAAAACTGTTTACGACATACATAGGCACTGAACGTCAATTTCGGTCATTTTTACTTCACTTTTCTCAAAGGATATTACTCCATGTATATATATAGAGCTCATAGGCACCTGAACCTGTACTGATATCTAAACCTGCGTATTTTTTTTGCAGCCAACGACGTACGCAGCACTAGATAAAGAGGCCTTGCGGTCAAGTGGATCGAAAAAACAAAACGATGGCAAGGAATCCCCTACCCAATATGCGAGCATTGATGTTGGTAAGGTAGGGAAGGTGGATAAGGATTAGCCTGAATTTCAGATGGCTACTCATCGAGACAGTTGCGATGGAACAGGGTAGGGGGACGTCTAGGGTGGCTATAGCCTTGAAATAAGTCTGGGGCTGCTATAGGCCCCCTCAGAGAAAGGGGGTTAAGGCTAGGCACAGCCAGATTGTGCTACCAAATTTTGAAAAAATTGCTCAAAATATGTCAAAAAGTTGCTCCAAAATTTCGAAAAGTTGCTCAGAAAGTTGCTCAAAGTGAAAAAAGTTGCTCAAAAGTTGCTCTAATGTTCTTATATTTACAATACACATTTGGCATCATAAGTAACAGTATTTCAAACTCTAACATCAAGGAACATATGTACTCTAGTTCCTTTTATATAATTACAAGGTTTACGCCATCAATACATCCAAACAACAATTAACAAGTGTGAACAGGAAATGACTGTAATGAAAAAAATTATGGAATTTCAATACGATTAGAGAGCCTATTATAGAGCAACCTAGTGCTTTCTTTGAGTGCTGTTATAGCGGACCATAACAGATGCCTCAATGTAATCTTCGAGTGAGTTTCCCTGTTGCGATGACATACTGTTAAGCAAACTAAACACACGTTCAGCAGCAGCAGAGCTAGGCTGGATTAGAAGCAACTTCTTCATCAGAGCTGACCAATGTGGTAAAGTCTCGCGTTGTGCTGCCCACCAGGTAACTTTTTCATCTTCATTGCCTAACAGTGACGCCATCAACAGCCGCAAGATAATCTGGCAACTCATTAGCTAAGTTGGCTATTGTGTTGTCATTCACGAATGGAAAGTTGCTAATTTCTTCGAGTGCAGCAGCATCTGGCTTTAGTTGTTGGACTTGAACTGGGCAACAAAGACGTGCGACCTTTACAATATAATAATAACGGTAATAATATAATTATTATTAAAATAAATTTAGACTTTTTCTGATTTCGAAATGAATATAACAAGGATAAATCAAATATTAGTTTCACGTAAACATGTAATTCCACAGTGAATGCGAGTTAATAACAGGCATACCTTAAAAGCGCGAACAATTGTGTGGAACTGCACGCTTAACTTTTCCTGAAAAAAGAGCAGTCCGGGTTGCACACATGCTTTTGCCTGAGTAATGAGCTGGTTTTGAACCACAACCTCACCGTTGGCAATTTCTCGAGCGATAGCAGAGGTGCTTGGAAAATTGGCTACTCCAATGGCATTACTAACAGCTGATAAACGCTCGTAACAGGAGAAAATTAACGGCCCGTCACCTTCCAAATAGTAGGTTGCCTTGACAAATTGGACACCAGCGTCAACAATTACAGCAAGCTCCAAACGGAGATCCTGAAGATCGCGAGGGTTGTCAATTATCTCCAAAAGATGTTGGCGTGTTACAGGGGAGAGATTCTCATTTTCTCGCAGGAAGGGCACGACATCACCAAAATATTCATAGACTTGTTTTTGGACCTCCCGCTTACTCCACCATCGTGTATTGCTGTAAGAGCGCATTGATTGGCCAGTTCTCTCTTTCCAAAGAAGTTTGGCATTGAAGCTATTGGCAAACAAACTTATCCAACGGCGAAAAAATATATCCAGAACAGGCCTTAAAATATCTTTTCCAGGGCCGTCTGACAAAATGTCCAGTGACGTTGAGTTTGGGTCGGACATATGTCCGATGACCTTCAGTTCATTTTTGACTCAGAAATAAGTCTGAATGACATGAAAGAATAAACGGTAAATGTTGTAAAGATATTAAATAATTTGTTTCTTTCATACATACTTGCCAGAACAGCAGTATCAAAAAGACTTCGACAATTTAAGCTCGTTTCCCACTTCACCATTTCGCTCGCCGCCCCGCGCTCGACTACGTTAAAACAACATTTCCAGTTAACCTTTTATACAATAGTACTCTGATTTTCCATTTAACATACAAGCCTGCCTCTAGTCCTGGCCTCCTAGGCTAGGGTACATTTTGATTTACGTCGGACAAAGCTACAGTTCGGTCGGAGACCAATACACTCGGGTCGGACAAACAATAAACCAGAATGTCCGGTGGTTTCTTTTCTACGTCGGACAATTTCACGAATGGGTCGGACAATGTCCGTGACCGACCGATATTTTAAGGCCTGCAGAACTCTAAATTTGAAATGGGTTCCCACATCAATGGTATGAGAAAAACAAGTAACATAAAAAAATGTTAGGATAAAAGAATGACAGCTGTCGTATTGCAGCCCCATTAACTGCAGCGCCGTCTCTCATTGTGGCGAGTACCATATTTGGACCAAAGTTATGATTTACGGCAAGACACGACATCAATCGCTGCGCTAGTTCTGAACCCTTTAGCGGCTTTGCAGGAACTTCCAAGCATATTAGGCGCTGCGTAGGCTTGAAATTCTCCTGCACATAACGTATCACAATTGCAAGAGCCTCGCCAAGTCGGGCTGTTCCATCAAATATCATAGGTACTTCCTGCACGTTTTGGATTTCAGCTTTGATTTTCTCGCGTTCTTTCTCAAGTACCGATGGAATGATATCTTTCATGTGGCTAGCGCCGGTTAACCTATATAATCAATGAATATTTAACCACTATTCAATTACACATTAATCATGATACGTGGTGTTGTGGTTTCCACACCTACCCAAAATGCAGCAACCACCACATCGTAAATTTCATTTAACATAAGGTCTTAGAGATCTTTTATCAAATTACAACATTATATTCTAGTGCTAATGTCCCATTTATTACCTGTGCCGAGCATACTTTTCAAGAAAAGGACGCATGATGTAAATCTTTGAAATTTCTATACCAGCTAGCAGAAACGTCTCTACTAGTTCAAAACGAAACAGCCTCATATCCTCAGGTAAAGTTGAGCCGCTCGCACGATCGCGTATATCTTGCTTTTTTAAACACTCCAAAATAGTCTGGTTCTCCTTTTTGCTTTTGGCGATGCTTGCAATTCCGTTTACATGTTTTTTCGATTGGACGTGCTTCTCGATGGAACTTTTTTAATACTAATTATCTCACTGCAGGCATTACATCGTAACTGCCCATTTTCGTTGACGAAATGTTGACCAGGGAAATCTTTAAGTCTGTCCCAAATACAGGTATCATTTTTCGAGTGATTTTTCACACGACTTGCCTTGTATTTCCCACTGTTTTTTTACGATTTTCCGCTTCCTCGAAATAGCAGCTCGATCAGGCTCTGTAATATTGGCTCCTTTATTTATTGCCAGTTGAATTGGGTTTGTTACAGCGTCATCTTTTTCGCTTGAATTTGACGACAATACGTCCGCCATATTTGATTGACAGCTTTGCGACCACAGTGAACTCTATATATATATATCGAATCATTTGATATATCGAATCATTTGATATATATCGAATCATTATCGAGTCATTTGATATATATATATATATAGAGTTCACTGTGCGACCACTGATCTATTAGTGTTTCTGGTATATCATCGGCTAGAAGCGCCCGCACTCTGTCAGGGTCAGATGATCAGATCATGGTTAATATTTGAAACAAGTTCAAACAACACAACACTATACATGGCATAATTTTTGCACACGGCGATTCTGGAGGAATTTTATTTATTCAAGTGGTTCACATTGGAGTATAAATATGTTCTAAGTTATGGTTCCGGACTATTTGTTCAAAGTTGCTAAAAAGAAGCAAAATTTTGGAAAAGTTGCTCGAAGTTGCTCGTCAGCAAAAAAGTTGCTCCGAGGCCAAATAGTTGCTAAAAAGTTGCCGAGCACAATCTGGCTGTGCCTAGTTCAGCCCCCCCCCCCAAAAAAAACACGATCAGAGTGAAACTTTACGTAAAAATACGGGGAAATTCTACGTGAAAATTGGGCAACTTTAGAGAAAAAATGAGGAAAGAATTAAAGAGAAGCGGTAGGTGTATTAAAACATCAAGAAAAAAGGAAACTTATTAGGTCTGAAAATAGTGTTTTACCGCCCCGTGGTCGACAGACCTAGGAAAATTTTATGATAAACATTTTTCTACATCGGGAAATTTTATGAACGTCCGCCAAATTTATGGAAATTAGCCCCCCCCCCAAAAAAAAAGAAGAATCAACTGTTCCGACGTTGCGTTGAGATGGCCCAACAAGTGGCCATCTGAAATTCAGGCTACCGGAAGATGATCAAGAGTAAAGTACTAAAGACGTAAGTGCCATATGGAGGCCGGAGTTGAAGGAAATTGTCGATCCTTCAAATCGTTTTTAGTAAAGATTACTTGTAAATATACCTTTAACGTTAACCTTCGTTAGAATTCTTATAAGTTTTTAAATGTAATTCGCACTGTAAATTAGTGTACCGGGTGTCCCAAAAAAAAGTACTCCTGTTTGTTTCGTAATAACTTCTAAACAAGTAAAGCTTTTAAAGAGAAATAACTTGCATTAAATAGAGGAAGGTCTAACTTAGATTTTGACATATTGCAGTTGCATTTTACTTAAAAATTCACAGAGATATTAATGTTCAAAATTGGGAGGATCTTTTGGGATGTGTCTAAAATTAGCAAAAATCGGCATATCAAATATTAACTCCAGTGTTTGTTTGTTAATGACATATCAGGCTAACTTGTATTTCAGCGAATTGTCGTTAGGGTTTGTAAGGGATATGGCGTAGATTTAGACATCTTACATGTAAGTCTTAGCTCAATGTTTCCTGAAATATGAACGTTCGAAATTATGCAAGTATTTAATATTAGGTCTTTACAAACTTAAAAGTACATGAAAGACCATGGAAGGCAGGCGCTTAAATTTTTCTTAAATAGCCTAAATGTTTTATGTTTTTAATGGGTTCAAACAGACTGAGTTGATTACTTCTCGGTTAGAGCAGGATGAATATTATTCTTTATTGAAGGAAATAATATTGCTTTTTGCAAATACACATTCACCGTATCAACGCTACTATTTTGTTAGGTTTTGTTCC